GAAAAACTGAGAAAAACTTGTCCTTATACTGGTATCATAATAATGATCCCTCTAAGGAAAAAAAAAAAAAAAAAAAAAGTTTTAAAATATGAAGAAGGGGCAATAAAACTGATAAAATGAGAGTCTTGGGTGCACACAGGCCCAAACAGGGAAAGAATAATTTATTCCTTTCTTTCCCCTGGGAGAAATTATTTGGACATAGAGGGAGTGGCTCTGGACACATAAAAGCCTAAGTGGGGATGTTTGAATAATTCAGGCAGAGGACTGATTAAAAAGCAAGAGCTTGGCCAAAGCAGGGACCAGCTCAGGAGGAAGCAGGCCCAGGCATGGCCGGGCAGAGGCAATCTGGGCTGGGCTGAGCCCCATGGGAACAGGGGGACCTGCCCAGCTCCAGGGGCTCTCCTGCATCAATAGATGGCACTCAAGAACTGCTCCTTCCTGCAGTCCCCGGGGTGGGGATGGTGGAGAGGTGATGGATCAGCTGGGGAGCGACTCTGGGAGCTCCGATGGCCGCCCAGCCCTTCTCGCCTGGCTTGGGAAGGCAAAGCCACGAGCTCGGGATGTTCCAGGTTCCCAGGCATGACAAGGACTGTTTAAATGAGACCAAACCTCCTCAAGGCTTCCCAAGGACACACGTGCGTGCTGGCATCGGGACAGTGCCACATTCCCATAGCCCGTGCTCCCGGTGCAAGGGCAAAGACAACAGGGACAGAGGGAGGGCAAAACCCCTCCAACCTCCTCCACCAAATTGCTTTTATTTAACAGCCTCGGTCAGCCTCAAGTAGGTCACAAGGCTGTGTGTGTATCTTCAGAATAAAGTCTTTAATCGGCTGATGGATATGAAAAAATAAATTACAGTGGCAAAATGTAATAAACGTTAAAGGGAAAATGATGAGAGTAATATAAGTACATTGATTTAACTAGGATGATATAGAGGAATTGTCTGCTTTATAGGTCTTTAGATGTCTATTAGCAGCTCTGTATTAAGGAATAGGGCTGTTCTCTTGATATACTTAAGAGCTGTCAGTAATTCCTATTTCACACTCCACTGCTTCAATTCAGAGAGCTCCGTGCAGCCCCAGCGACCCCATCCCGGGCTCGCTGGAGGGTGACCGCCTGCCGAAGGCTTCCTTTGCAGGCTCGGGATTATTCAGAGCCCGAGGTGGAGCTCTGCGGGGCCGTTTGTCTGAACGACGCCTTTCCCGAGCCCAGCTTGGCTTGGGGGAAAAAAACCCCAAAGCTTCACTCTGCAGGATCCAAGGTGTATTTTCATACCTGCATTTCATTTTCATTTTTTACATCTGCCTCCATGTGCTTATTTTCACCCGAGGGGTGGGAAATCCATCCTGCTTTTCCTGTTGACCGTTTGAGTGTTTCAGCTCAGCTCCCAAGCCAGCCTTAACGAAAATGCAGAAATATTTTCCCAAAGAAGAGATGGAGACAGGGAGTTGGGAGCAAATTGAAATTTTCAAAGGGGGAAAAGGTGAAAGGGTGGGAGCACAGAGAGGTTTGCAGACACCCAACACAGCCTGGACAGGAAAAAGCAGAGGTTTTGGGAATGTTGCATCTTCATCCTGCCTGAATGAAGGCAAAGCCAAGGCTTTTTCAAAATCATAGCAAAAAAATGTGCAATTAATGCTTTTTCTCCAGAGTCAGTAGCTGTAGGTGCCATGTGGTTCCCACCAGCCTTGGGATGCTCCTGGTGGGATGTGTTTCCATGATGTCCTAGGGAGAAAACCCCATGTTGGGATAGAGCCCATTCCAGCTGGAAACAAAGGGTTCAACCCTCTGAGGACGGAGCAGAAGGGACAAGACAGAGTTCAACTCCAAAATCCAAATAAAACCCTGAATAAAAAAGAGATAGGATGGGTTTGATCCCAGATTGCCTTTCCTGCTTCTTAGCAGGAGAGGAAGTATTTTGGAAAGTATCAGAAACATGATAGAAAGTTGTTTTCCTTGATATTTCATAACATTTTCCCCTGCGGTGTTTTGGCCGCTTTCTCTTCCCTTTTTTTTTATGGCTTACAAGTAAAAGAGGTTTTTATCGAAAATCTGTTTTTCAAGAACAAGAAAATCAATAAAAATATATCAGTTTATTCCTTTGTTAAAGAACCAAGAAAGGTCCCCCTGTGTAAAAAAGAAACCCAAAATGTCATGTTTGGGTTGGAAAGGGAACTTTAAATGCCTCATTAAGAGAGGAATCCTGCACTTAACACCAGGGTTTTGCATAAGAGTTTGCAAAAATCCCAGTGGCACAGTGAGCGATTCCTAAACCAAATAAAAGAGGGCAGAGATCATCGAAGAACCGGTTTGCAATGATTGATTTAGGCAATTCCAGCCCTAACCGAATTCCTGAGGCCTCAATAATCTCTTTAGCATCGTCAGGTCGGGCTGTGCACGCCGCCCTTGATCCGATGCCGTTCCCTTCCTTCCCTTTACGAACAGCCCAAAGCCAGGGATGCGGTGGAATTCATCTGGCACTTCCCTCTGAGCCGCCTGCCCTGGAAGTGCGGATGCTTCACCTTTGGGAAGGACTCCAGAGAGCCGGCAGTGCTCTGCATCCCGGCTGGATCCTTGGGAGCCCTTACAGGGATGCAGAGCTGCGCTCTGGCTCTGTAAATCAGCAGCTTTTAAACCCCCTGAGCACAAACACTGGGAATTTTCCCCATCCCTCAGTCCAAGCCAGGACGCTGAAGGACAAAGGTGACTTGTGTATTTTTAATTTATTAATCTCAGCTGCTGTTCGCTTTGCCTTCACAGGCATTTTCACATCTATTTTCTTTTTTTTTTTCCCTTTTTTTTTTTACCCCTGGCCATATTCCAGCTGATCCAGGATGTGTTTGATATTGCTGTTCCCATATCAAAGCACTCAAAGTGCACAGATTTCAGTGAATTGTGAAGGGAAGCAGGAGATGCTTTTATCTCCGTGCCTCCTCCCAGGATCACCCGGAGCCCAGCCTTCCCTCCGTCTCAGCTGCGTGATCCAGCTGTGCCCCAAAGCCTCTCTGCGAGCCCAGGGAGGGGGCAGTGGGGTGGGGAAAGCATCACTCACACCTCCGGAGCTGGGAACAAGCTCCAGCACAGATTTCTGGACAACCTTCCAAAGGGCAGCAGGCTTGAGCTGTGATCCGGATCCAAGGAAGAGGTGAAGAGCTCCTGGTGCTCCCATCTCACCCCTGACACTTCCATCTCACCCCTGGGACTTCCAGCGTTACATCTCCTGCCAGGTGCTGGCATGTCCCTCCTGGAACTTCCCTCTTCTCCCTGCTGGTCCTCTCATGTCACCTCTGCTCTTTGCATCTGTCTTTGTGCTTCCATCTCATCTCTGGAGCTTTCACCTCAGCATTTCTGTTTCCATTTCTCCAATACCATTTGCACCTCCCCATTCCTGTTTGCACCTCCCCACTCTTGTTTGCGTCACCCCATTCCTGTTTGCATCCCTCCATTCCCATTTCCATCTCCTCATTCCTGTTTCCATCTCCCCATCCCTGTTTCCATCTCCCCATCCCTGTTTCCATCTCCCCATCCCTGTTTCCATCTCCCCATTCCTGTTTGCACTTCCCGATTCCTGTTGGCATCTCCCCACTCCTGTTTGCCTCCCTCCATTCCCATTTCCATCTTCCCATTCCCATTTCCATCTCCCCATTCCCGTTTCCATCTCCTCATTCCTGTTTCCATCTCCCCATTCCTGTTTTCCCTCCCCCCATTCCTGTTTCCATCTCCCCATTCCTGTTTTCCCTCTCCCCATTCCTGTTTCCATCTCCATGCTGGTTCTTCCATCTCCCCCCTGGTATTTGCATCCCACCCCTGACCCTCCACCCCACGCTTTACCATTCCATCTCCCCTGTTTCCTGTGTCTCCCTCCTGGCCCTGGTGTTTTGGGCACCGTGGGTTCATCAGGCGGGGCTGCCCCAAGGCCCTGAGCCCAGACCCTGCTGTCGAGGCAGGACGGGAATGAAGAGACTCTGACCAGATCAGAAGGCTGGTGAAAGTAAAACTCGGATTTATTCAAAATACCCCGCTGTTTTATACAGAGCTTCGTGAGGACCAACTCCATTGGTCCTGAAGTGAAAACAACTCAAGCACTGGTGCAGAGTGCTTGACGCACAGTGATAGAACTTAACTATAAACAATGTGAAAAACAAGAGAGATAAAGAATTATTTACATTCTTCTCCAACTCTTTCCCAGGCATCTGCCTGGCTAGAAACTCCTGTTTCTCTCTTTGACTGAATCTGAGTCCCACATATTCTCCCCAGAGGAAAGGGCTTAAACGTGGGATCCTTTCGGTTTTGTCCACCTGCCCCTACTTGGCTTCCATCACGGAGCAGCACTGAAGAGCTGGAAGAGGCTTGGATGTGCCAGGCACTGCAGGGCTGGGAACAGGCAGGATCCATTCCAGCACAGCAGGATAAAGGAAGAGAACAGGAGGGAAGAGGTGCAAAGTCATCCTGCTTCAAGGAATGACTTTTGGGTGAACACCCAGCACATGGAGGGCTTTGCTGGACTAAAATGAAAACTCTGCCTGCCATGAGATGGATTAACCCCACAGAGGGAGGCTGGGAATGCTGAAGGTTTGCTCCCCAGGAGCTCTGAATCCCAATGAGGGGATGGCTCAAGCCACCCTGAACCCCAAACTAAACTCAATGTCTCCCCAAACCCCACACTCAGTGTTTCCCCAAACCCCACACTCAATGTCTCCCCAAACCCCACACTCAGTGTTTCCCCAAGCCCCACACTCAGTGTCTCCCGAAACCCCACACTCAGTGTCTCCCCAAGCCCCACACTCAGGGTCTCCCCAAGCCCCACACTCAGTGTTTCCCCAAACCCCACACTCAGAGTCTCCCCAAACCCCACACTCAATATCTCCCCAAACCCCACACTCAGTGTTTCCCCAAACCCCACACTCAGTGTTTCCCCAAACCCACACTCAGGGTCTCCCCACCTGCAGTGCAGCTCCTTTGCCTTCCCCTCACAGCTCTAACAAAGGAATGACACAACATTTCTATATAATAACATTTATTGCTGCAGCCACAGGGAAAGAGCATTTCTGAGTGCTCTAGGAGCCATATGTGGGCAGCACAGATTTGTCTCCATAAGGGTTTTTCTCAGAGTGCTGCAGGAGAGAAAACTGAGGAATTAGGAACCAAAAAAAAAAAAAAAAAAAAAAAATGGGGAGAAAAAGAAACCTCTCCTCTGTCATCAAAGGTCAAGGTGGAATGTCACATCTTGAGGACAAAATACCTGAAGTCTGGAGAGAAAAGACTTCATGTAATGGAAGTATCTGTGGGCACAAAGAAAACCCTCAGCATCCAGGGTTCTTGTGGAATATTTGTCAAAGCTAATGTTGCATTCAAATAAAAACACAACCATCACGCCAAAAGTGATGCTTCATGTCCAAAAACTTCAGGTCCAGGATGCAAGTGCTGGCATTTGGGGTTGGACATGTGCCGAGTAATTGCTCAGAGATGGAAACAGAACCTGTTTTTCCCTGCTAGCCAAAGACAAAACCCCACAAATCTTCTCTGTGCCCATGTGCCCATCGCCACAATTAAAGGGTATGCAGAGGATGAGGAAACCTCCCTGTGTCAATCCCAGTGGCACCAATCTGCCCTGCCCCAGCAGCACCCCAGGTCACAGCCTGGCACAGAGGGACACGCTCCTGCTGCCATCTCTCATCAGCCCTTGCTCCCCAAATGCCCTTTAATTAAGGATAGTTAAAGACTTTCACTGCTTGGTGCTGATCCTGAGCCCGGGTTTGTGTCTGCAGCAGGAGAAATGGGCAGGGATTTTTGCAGTGAGGAGAAGGATTGAGTAGTTAAAAGTGATGCTGCATTAATGGACATTAATGGGCATAAAAATGAAAATAACCGGCCCAGGCTCCCCCTTCAGCTCCATGTCCTTCTGGCCCTGCCAGCCTTTGGATAAATAAAATATCAGGCTCTGCCCTGCACACAGAGCTGGGAGAGGCAGAGGCACCTATGGGGCACTTCCCTGCCCTTCCCTTTGTGCTCAGCCAATCCCAGATATTGACAGATCCATTGGTTATTGGTTAATAATGAGCAGTGCCCGTTAATGGCAGGGGCTGTGTCTTCTTGCATTCCTTAGTGTCAGGAGGCAGTTCACAGCTCTCCGTGGGACAGGGACACTCCTGGTCCTGCTTCTGGGGACATCTCACCTTCAGGTGTTGCATCATTGAAGCTGTGGCTGCCCCTGGATCCCTGGAAGTGTCCAAGGCCAAGCTGGATGGAGCTGTGAGCAGCCTGGGCTAGAGGAAGGAGTCCCTGCCCAGGGCAGGGGGTGAAACTGAGTGGGCTTTAGGGTCCCTTCCAACCCAGGCCATTCCATGATCCTGTAATCCTACGATTCTATGATTCTATGGTTTTTTAATGACTCCGTGATTCTTTTATGGCTCCATGATTCCATGACTCTATAATTCCATGAGTCTATAATTCTATGGTTCTATGATTCTACAATTCTGTGACTCTGTGACTCCATGATTCCATGACTCCATGATTCCATGATCCCATGATCCCATGACTCTATGATTCCATGATCCCATGATCCCATGACTCCATGAGTCCATGATCCCATGACTCTATGATCCCATGATCCCATGACTCTATGATTCCATGACTCTGTGATTCCATGAACCCATGATCCCATGACTCCATGAGACCATGACTCTATGATTCCATGATCCCATGATCCCATGACTCCATGACTCTCTGATTCCATAATTCCATTATTCTGCAGCCCAAGCCACTGTAAAGCTGCCATGGAGGTGGCCAGAGCCCTTGGGAAATTTGGGTCATCTTTCTCCATGGCCATGAAATTCCAGCCTTCTACTGGAACAGGACAAAGTCCTGGTGGTGGCTTCCTCAGGGAAGGACAAATGACCCCATGAGAGGGGATGGAGATGAGGGAAGGGATGGGCTGTCTCCTCACAGGGCATTTTGCCCTCTAAGGAGCTGCCTGGAATAAAATCCCTGGACATCTCAATGCCTCTGGCTGGGAAAGGAGATGTGGGACAAACCTCTTCATTCAGGGCTTAATCCTTGGGGCCCATTTCCAGCCCGATTTCCAGAGACACAGACCAGTCCCAAAAATATTTTTCCTGAGGAAAGGAGTGGAGAAGGTGCTCTAGAAGCTGCATGGAGATGATGGCAGCACGACAAGCTCAACCTTCACTAGACATGAGAATCTCCCCTCCAGAAGGAGCTCTTGGAGGGGCTCAAACAACCTTAAATCCCAAAATCTGAAGACTCTGTGACGAGCAGAGACAGCAGCTCATGGCTGGCTGCTCCCAGAGGAATTTTGGGGCTGGGGGCATTGGCAGGGGGGGAGACATTTCCATCCAGGAGGTCCATGGGCTCGCCAGGCAGCAGCCAGGAGCCACCTGCCTACAGCAGCTGGAATGTGGAGTGAGCTGGAGCAGGAGCCGTGCGTGCAGAGGAACACCTCATCCCTGGAACTGCCAAGCTGCTCACAGAACAGATGGCTCCAGGTTAAATGTGAATTGCAAACCTAAAAAATAAAAATGGTGTTTGTGCCCTTCCCGGCACCTTTATGATATATAAAGATACAGCAAGTGATTTTATTTCCTTCGGAGGAAATGTGGTTGGGGTTTTTTATTCTTTTATTAGGTTTGGAGATTTTTATTTTTTTCGTCTTGCATTAGGGAAAACAAGGCAGGGTTTTCCTGCTGGGAGCTGGGGGAGCTCAGCTGCATTTTAGGGGGTATTTCAGCTGTGGGAAGGGGCAAAGCTTAGGAAAATTCTAAAGCTGTAATGCAATAAATTGCATGAAATATGGAAATAATACAAGTTCTCCCTGCAGAAGTCCAAAAGAGAGGTGGGCTCAGACTGGGGCTGGAGCAGGGGAAAGCCATTGGGGTCTCCAAGAGAGCCCCCAAAGTCAGTTTGTGTCAGGCAAAGGGTGAAAGGGCCCTCTCCTCCTTCAGCTGGGTGCCACAGTGGAGTTAAGGTAGCATGTCACAAAAATTACCTCTCCCAGCCATGCGGTTTGTCCCTGGCTCAGATTTAATCTCCTGGAGTGGAATTAGCCAGGAAATCATTTGGAAACACTGTATTTTACTTTGAATTGGCTTGGAATGAGGCAAGAGAGAGGTAAAACCACCCCTTCAGCCCCTCTTTCCCCTTCCTCAGGGTGGATTTATCCCCTGTGCCAACCCCTCAATGCCTTATGCCAACAACAGCTTTAAACACAGGTGGGACAACTAAATGGAAAAATAAGATTGTGGTTATTCCATAATCTTTCATTAATGCAACACTCGCTATTCAGACAGAGACAAAAGAGGCTGTGCATCTTTTTGGAAAATAAATCTCCCACTGCTTATTTTTTCCCCCATGTAGCGAGGAAAAATATATTATTCATATGAAGACAAGGACCAGCTGAAGGACTTGCAGCTGAGGCTGTGGCTGGAGCAGCAGGAGCTGTGCCTGGCAGGTTTGGAGCTGGGGATGCTGAGAAGGAAAATCATTTGGGTAAGCAGGGAGACAAAGCCATCGTGGCTCACCAATGTGGCAATTTCCTCCTGCAGTCAGGGAAACGGAGCCTTTGGGCTTGACTTTGTCAATTAATTCAACGTCTGGTTCACCTTTTGGAGAGAAGGAAACGAGGGGAAAAAGCTTTTCAGAGCTTTCAAAAATAGCTCAGCAAAATGTTTTGGCATTTGTGAAACAAAGCCTTTCACTTCAGAGGTACCGGCATGAGCAGCTCAGCGTTTTTCAAAGGTTTGCTGCTCTTTAATTCTTTTTTAACCTGAAATTATTCATCTCATTAACATAATCCTGAATTCACACTGCTTTGGTCCTCCTCAAACATCATTTCCAGCAGATGCACAAATTGATCACAAAACCCCCTTCAGAGTGGATTGACCCCGAAGCCGTGGTTTTTCCAGATTCACACTTCATTCCCAATTCTCCATCAGGAAATCCATCTGTGACCTGGTGCTGAGAACTGCAGCTCCATGACAAACCCACCTGGGGCTCCCCACATGCCCAGGAGGGCTCGGAGCAGCTCCAAGCAGCTTCCAGCTGTGGGACTTGTGAGGTGGGGATGTGCCCTCAGCCACTGAGCTATAACAGAACTATGGCTGAGGGACTTGGTTTATTGGGAGAAATTCAGAGGAAGTTCTGCTGGAGTCATGTAACATAAAGACACCGTGTGGTTGCTTCTGTCACAGATATAAATATGTACAGATAAGATCCATCTCCATTTGGGAGCATCCTCATGCCTTCTGTTCATTTCCATTAACTCTGCATCCCCCCGGTGCCTCCATGGCCCAGTCGAACGTCTGTGGCCACAGCTGAGTGCACTCCTTCAAAGGACACATTCCATCCCTTTGCATCTGGATCCACCTGTGGGAAGATGAGCCTGGGTATAAAACTGGGAGATCTCCATAAATCTTCATTTTGGGTGTGTGGGAATGTGGTTTTGGGCATGCACATCCCAAAATCCAGGACTTCAACAAAATGCTTCAGGCAGCAAGGGTCTTGGGGATTTCTTTCCTCTCCAGTTGGTCAAAACCATTTTGTTGTCAGCATAATTCCATGGATTTCATCAGAAATGTGTTGAACAGACTTCCCCAAATGGTGGAGACACTGATTGTGGCGCGATTTAAATGACTTGTAGATGTGGCACTTGGAGACTTGGCGTGAGGTGGCCTTGGCAGTGGGGGGTTAAATGTGGCACCTAGTGATCCTGGAGATCTTTTCCTGACTAATGAATTCTATGGTTCTATGGAAAAGCCCTCCCAGTGAGGGTAGTGCCAAAGGACTGATGCAAACTGGCTGCCACTGGAGCTGGAATTGGCACAGGGCGATGATGGTCATCCCTGCCTGGGAGCTGTGGGGATTTCCAGTGGGATAGGCAGCTCACAGGGCAGGTCTTTTGGGATGTGGGTTCTTCCTTAAAAAGCATAAGGGAACTTGCCTGGGGTCTTTAGGATCCCCTGTCCCAGGTGCTGGCAGCTGGAGGGCTGTGGAGAAGGGAGGCTGTGACTCCAGGCCCATTCTGGAAGGTGCTGAGCAGCTCCTTAGCTCAAGGGCTGGATCCTCATTTCCACTCCCGCCTCTCCAGGCTGCAAATGCAGCTCCCAGAGCCCTTTAATGTTCAGAGCAGCTCAAGTGTAAATGAGAATCAGGCCCTCCAGTGCCATCTCTTTTCTTCCAAAGAGGAAGAATCTCCTTGACTACAGGGAGTGAAGTGGGTCAGGATGGTTTGGGGTTGACTTAAACCTCTTCAGTGCTGTGCTGGGTGATGGCTGCCCTTCACTTGAGAGCCAAAATGTTTAAGCTGCTTTTGTAGGCAAGAAGAGTTTGCAAATCCAGGCTCCGCATCTGTGCAAGAGAGAAGATGCTCTCCCCATCACACCAGCGTTAGCAGAAGGGTTTTCCCACTTTCCCTGGGAGGTCTCTGAGGAGGAGCAGAGGAGCGGGCAATGGTTAAGGACAAGGAACTCTTGTGGCCTTCACTGCCAGAGGAGTGACTTTGCCCAGGCGTGCCGGGCGCAGCGCGTTCTGCTGCACTGCTCTCCTGCATTTTGTGCTCCACTGCTCCTGCACACAGCGTTTGGAGCGTGGTGACATCAATCTGGGCACGTGGCTGGGGCTCCTGCTGTCAGGGATGGAAAGGTTCTGCAGTGGAAAGGAGGATGGATCCATCCACAGAGGAAATACCTGGGGATGGTGTTAATTAGTGCAAAAGGAGGGGGAGGGAGGCGATTTGGCCGGGATACACAAAAAGATGTTCATCTGCCAGGGAGTGGGTAATGAGGCTGGACCAAGTTAATATCTGGGGCTGGAATGTATTCAGATGAGGACGTGTCAATGCCTGGGAATGAGGATTTTGGAGATGTGGCTGTCAAGGCTATCCAGGATCTTCAGAAATCCTTGCTAAGGTCACTCCAACCCTACTGATGATGCTATTGAGGACATCCCCTTCCACAGAGAGTGCCAGCGATGTCCCTGCCCCATGTCCCAGCACTGCCACAGCCCCTGGGTGACTCCAGCCCCCTGACCTGGAGCTGGGATACCAAAGCAACATGTACCCACCATCCCCACTGCCAAGGCAGTCTGGATCCTCCATCCCCACTCCCATGCTCAGAGACATGGGATGGGATGGGATGGGATGGGATGTGATGGGATGAATTGCATTTGCTGATTTATTGCCCCTCTCCTGCAACGTCAAAGAACCCTCTCAGGAGGGCTCCTCCTCTCAGGAGCTTTTTGTGGCACTTCATCAGAGA